TCCTATGAGAGCTGCTCATTGGCGCAGGAAGGCGAAATGGCCCAACTTTTAAGAGAGTGAAACGTCACAGATTACCCATCATGCCTGGCTGCCAGAGCAGAAGAACCCGTATGTGCGCTCACAGAGCATGCGCCCCTTAAGCCCCGCCCCCCGAGCTCCCACTCTCGCTCACTAGAAGGAATGGAGAAAAAATAAATCTAGATTCGGCTTTTAGTGCATTTTTACAACTTTAAGGACCGAATGATTTTAATAAGGGCTATAAAATAGTTCATACCGGGTCGTTTATTTAGTTAAAAAAAAATTATCCACCGATTTACAGACGCCTCTTTCCCCATGTTAGTCAATGGGGAAAAGTCTTTCTGGGCCGGGTGACGTCACGGACTGATACGGAAGTTGCAGTACCGCCGTTCGGACACAACGACTGTTCGGCGCTTCCTGGGGGCTTGGTCTGATCCCTCTCTGGCGCCACGACTGTGGAGTTTCACATCTGTATGAAAAGAGTCCTACACTTGGAGACATATTTTATCGGTCATTATAGAATGTGAAGGTTGTCTTGATTTTAAAAAGTGTTACAGTTGAAGTCCAGTGGATCACAGCTGGTGTTCAAAGCTGCCATAATGTCAGAGTAACACAGTTCAGAGATGAGAGTTTGTCCGCTTGATTCCATTGATTGAATATGATGTTAACTCTTCAGCTGCTGACCAGTCGCGGATCATGCAGGACCAGATGACAGGTGCTGCCATGGCGATGCCTCCTGACCCCAACAAGGCTTTTAAGGTGAGATTTCTTAATAAATAAAAAACTATTAACGCCATTAGCTTGGTCCAGTCTTTTTCTCTACAGCTCAGGAGCCTTGTCGCTTCATCCAGTTGAAATGTAGAGACTTTTCATTCTTGTAAATCCATTTGTAGCTTTGTTTTTAAGAGAGGTGCTATTTAAATGTATACGTTTATTAGTTTGAGTAGTATTATTATCCAAGGAATCATTTGAGTGATTTTTTGTGTGATGGTCCACAACAGCTTTATGCACATTATCTAATAGAAGTTAACCTTGAAAATGAAAGTATCCGGGAAATCCCTTTTGATATTTGTTGGTATATTATTAAATAACTTTTGATGTGTCAGATCCTGGTCAATTTATAAATGTAGATCAGCCAAACATTCAGATTAAATCTCAAATTTAAAAAAGCCCTCAAAACTCACCTTTTCACTCTTGCCTTCAACTCCTAATCCACTCACCCCTATTCCACCTAGCTTAGCACTTTTTTACTTTTGTTGTTATTTCTTTACTTGCTTGTAAAGCGCTTAAAGCACCAGGAAAAGTGCTATATAAGTAACATGTAGTATTATTATTATTAAAGGTCACCTATTATACAAAATGCACTTTTTGATGTCTTTTATACATCACCATGTGTCCCCGTGTGTCAGGGAACTCACGCAGCGTCAGAAAATAAAACCCTCTCTCTTTTCCTCCGTACCCAAATCTCTAAAAACGGGGGAACAACGGAGCTGATCCAGATTTGCGTCCGATATGACGTAATATCGGAAATGTGGACCCACTGCAGAAAGTTGCTATCAGAAACAATGCGTGACGTGTTTTGGACATGATATGGTCTGTGTTTACATTAGCAAGCATCGCTAACACTCAGAGCTAACCTGTACTGGAGAGAGTATGTGTAAAAATGCAGGAAATAAAAAAAGGAACTCACCTTGTGGTAAACCTGAGAGAGAAAAAGCATTTGAGCTCCATACTGTTTCAGAAATAATCCTTGATGTGGTTTGGAACATGATATGGCGTTTAATCACATTTAGCTGAGTATCTCTTAGAATTCTGAGCAGGCATTAGCTCCATCTCCTATTTTTTCTTTCAAGCAAAGGACCCAGATCAGCGTTTCTCTAACAGGGCTGAAACAGAGCGATATGAGGGATGTCTAAAATGCATGATCTGTTTGGTATTTTGAGCAAAAAACACATCATAGACATGTTTTTTATATATTTTGATATAAAAATAGCATAATAGGAGTTTTTTTTAAAGTGGACATTTCCTCAGAGTAAAACAGACCTGTATTGTTTATCTGTTTGTTCTCTCAGAGTGAGTGGGAGGCGCTGGAGATCGTGGAACACAAGTGGGCGCTGGAGAACGTGGAGGACGAGCTGATGACCAGAGACCTGAACTTTGGAACCCTCTTCACGCAGGACATCAAGTCCACCATGTTCTAGACTAGAGAGAAACCCTGAGGAACGCCTGAGACTAGGGTTCTAGAACTCTGTCCTGAACATTCTAGAAACACTTGAGAGAATTCTTAAATCTGGAACACAGTATAACACAAATGCTAGAGTTAGATCATTTAATGTGATCACTGTATTCACCTCATCGGGCACTTATTTACTTTCTGCCTTTTTAACCTGCCTCCAAATTATTGTGTCCAAGTTGTGCCTTCATATGTTCAATGTGTTGATTTATAATTATTGTTAATAAGAGTTCTTATTCAACTTTTTGACAATTAGATAGTAACTTAAATAGACCCACTTACTTGCCTTTTCTAAAATCTTGTGTCTTAATTTTGCAAATGAAGTTGTCAGCTCAGTTGTTGGGTTGGTGTATATTATTTAATTAAAGTGTTCCTGAAGTTAATTTTTGTCTAGAATAACATTGTAATGAAATATTTGCTTGTTTTTGTGTATCCAGTGTTCCAGAATCTCTCATGTTCTAAAGCTTCTAGATAGTTATTCTAGCCCGACCCTTTCTCGGCTCTGACTTGTGGAGCTGACGAGTTCGGGGTTGTTTCAGTAAACCAGCGGATTCTGACACCAGACGAATCTCCTCAGGAAGATGTTTCTTGTCGGGTGCGACGCAGAAACAGAAGTTTAAAGACCACTGGGACGTTATGAGAGCTTTAACTGACGGCAGGCGTTCATGTTTCCCTGCAGGCGGACTCTTTGCATTGTTTTTTACCCGTGGTCATCCAGCGCGACTTGAAGTGAGTGTGACAGTTTAATAAAGGTGCCATCGAACTAACTGCCTTTTTCTTGTCTTTATTCAACACCGAGTTCACCCTCCTTTATAAGAAGCATAGGATCAAATAGACCTGTTTTCACGCCAAGTACTTGCCGTACTTAGTTCCCAGCACTTATGGCGCCTTTCCATTGCAGGGCCCTTCGCTCGGCTTAGTACGGTATAGTTAGGACCTTGTTTAGGCCAGGCTCACTTTATGCTGCGTTTCCATTACAGTTTAGTAGCTGGGGCAGTAACTATAAGTAACGCAGTGTTGGCGGAGCCGTGACGTCATCTTCAATGCGAACCACAGAAAACCAACATCAGCCGTTAGCTGTTAGCACTCAAGCTCACAGCTCCTCATATCTGTTCAGAAACTAGAACAAAAGTTAAACAAGTACAAACACAGACAGTCTATGTCATGGAGAATACAGTCGCTGCTTTATTTATGTCTGTAGGCCGTTGTTGTGAGTGTGGACGGTCAGAGCATATACAACGTTAGCTTAGCCTTAGGCGAATTTCATAAGAACACAATTTCCCAATTTTGGATCAACAAAGTACATCGTATTATCTTATACTAACAGAACTACGCCTATATTGCGTATAGCGCCCATAAACTATGGCGCACCCCCCACCAAAAAATCAGTTGAACTGCCCCCAGTCCCAGTCAAACCAGAGGTTTATGTGAAATTGTTCTTTTTTTGAAATAATGGTTTTAGTGTGCATTATAGGTTTTAATTTGTATTTGTGTTAATTTAAATAAATCAAACTCCCTAAAAAACGTACACAGCTTCTGTGTGCTTTTGTTAACATTGGAATGTACTGTGTCGCAGGGGGAGAGCTTTAGAGAGCTCTCTCCTGAAAGACTGTGCGGCTCTGATAACCTCAGCTCAGTGGAGGTAAAGGCACACCTTTATTATATGATCATTGTAGTTTGTAAAAAAATAAGAGAATAGATGAAAAACAGGTATAAAGTACGATATGACAGTAAACCATTTTTTAAATTAATAAACAAGAATACAATTTAAAAGGGGTGTGATTTGTAAAATATCCATTCATCCATCCATCTTCTCCCGCTTATCCGTGGTCGGGTCGCGGGGGTAGCAGTTCCAGCAGAGAACCCCAAACTTTCTTTTCCCTGGCGACATCAACCAGCTCTGACTGGGGGATCCCAAGGCTTTAAAATATCCATAAATAAAAATAAAATCTGCTTACAGTTCTGTTTCATATGGGTGTTGAGAGATGTATCCAGATCTCTCCATGTTGCTCTCAAAGTGCACCAGATTGATGCTTAAAAAAATCTTCCCGGAGAGGATGTTAGGTCCACTTAAATCATGTTCACATGGATAAGAAACCAAATACGTTTTGCACACATCTTGTGTCAATATCTTTCTGTTTTGGTGGTCATGCCACAACCGTGCACGTATAAGTGTCTGCATTTGGGGGGGTATGTATGGAGTCAGATTTGGGTCAATATTCTAGCGCGTAAAAACAAGCTACTCACGAGCGGAAAATGTGCTTTATTACACGCGCATAAAATGACCCTCGCGCGCAGATTAAACCCCCCGCGAGCGGCTCTGTGCCCGCGAGCGGCTCTGCGCTCCGCTCGCGAGAGAGACAGCCCTCTTGCTCGCTCGCTCGCGGGAGTGTCAGCCTCGCGGAGTCTGTCTATGCGCGCGTGAAAAGTTTCTGGCACTTTGGGGGCGGAGCCACTGGACTTTGATTGACAGCTGCAAGGAAGCCCAGAGTTGCCAGGTTTGATAAATGCTGAACTACCAAGAGCCGAGGAGTGACAGCTGCAAGATCAGTTGGACGAGATGAATGGTAAAGTTTTGTCCATAAAAAACTATTATATTCGTAAAGTTGTACAGCTAATATATATATATATATATATATATATATATATATATATATATATATATATATATATATATATGTATGTATACATAATACGTGTCAGTACGATTTTATTTTGTATTTGCGTGCATTTCCTGTTTGGAAAGTGAGGTGTCTTGAGACTGGCTTCTGCAGGCAGGCTCCCATGCTTTTCTTTGTGCGTGTGTAAAGTGTGTTATTTATTTTTAGCGAACACTTCCGCATAAATCATCATCTAAAACCAGGCATCCTCACAAACTACGGACTCCGGTCCGGATCCGGACCGAACCACACACTGTCTCCGGACTCTGAGCAAATTATACTTTTCATATGTATTATCTCTCGTATTATATGTGAGGACATCCATCGCCACAACGCATTCGCAACGAGTCAAAATTCTCCGCTATGGTCCACTGCAAACAGCGCTCTGCATGTCTGACTGTTCCAACTGTTGTTCCACCTGTGTGGTGTCAACGCTTGGTCCAATCACATTCAGCATCCAGTCAGCGTTTTTTCCACCCAAACATCTGCGAATCAGAGGCACAGTAGGGCGGGTCTTCGCGGACTGCGGGTGGGAAAAATGTGTGTGTCTCTTTCCATCAACCTGTCTAAGTCAGAGCGAGAATTAAAAAAAAAAAAATTCAGAGCGAGAGTTAACAGCTCATCTAGTTCGCATCTGTACTGTAGCTAGTAGCTAGTTTCACCTACCGGGGTGGCAACTGAACAGCCCTAAAAAATAGGCCTTGCCACCCCAGCTGACCACCCCAGTTGGCAGCTTTGTTTTGAAGAAAAGTTGGTGGCTCATCGACTTTATGAGAGAAAGTCTCTAATGTCCGAGTGCAAGTGAATGCAGCACAAGATGCACTCATGTAACCCCTCCCCGGTCCTGGCGCGAGCGTGGACATACGATTTGCGGCGATTTCATTTTTAACTGGACGGCGCAAAACGAGAAGCATTCGGACCCAAGCACTGAAAGGAATGAGGTATTTTGCGGTCTACACTGACAGAGAAGAGACTGTTAGTTTGGCTGTACTCAGCATTGAATCAAACGCACTAAAGCTGTAGCATCTTAATACGTTTGTGAGGCGTTTTGCTGACCAAGATGGTAACTCGCCGCATTCAGCTGTAATAGACATGCCAAACTTGATGCTCTGCTCACGGATGAGCATACACAACTATTAAGATGGATGACCTTACGTGTGTAAATATAATTTTTTTCTTTGTGGGGGTCTGCCCCAAAAAAAAAACTGTTTTTAAGTCCTGAGAAGTCAATCAGAACGTTGTGTAAAACTACACTGCCCAGCCAAAAAAAAAGTAACCACTTTGATTGACTAGGCCAGTAGGTAAGGACTCTCCACTGGATAATAACTGCAGTATAAAAGAATGCATGACTGAAGTGATGGACACCATGTTGAAGGCAAACAAAAAGAGGAAATAACAGGTCAAATCAAGCAAATCCCCCTCTCAGATTCCACAGCAACCAGAAGAACATAAATACTGGCTGGTGATTTGATTCATCAGCTTTGTGATGGAATAAAAAATGCACAGTGCATTTCCTTAGCTGTGGGTGAGGCCACTGACACCACTGACAATGCCTCAGTTGCTGGTGTTTTGTGAGTTGTTATGATGAGGCAAAGGGGGAGTTTGTTGAAGATGTGGTTGGGCCTGACGAACCTCAGTGGACGCACAAGGGGGCAAGACATTTATAAAGCAATAATGGGAATGCTGAATGAAAGAGGGTGCAGCTGCCTTTATTCATAACTGTGGCAGCTCTTACACTGCGACTCTGAGGGGTCAAGCACAGACACAATAACATGAAAACGGCTGCATACAGATTATTTTTGTTTTTTGCAACCTCGTGTTAGAATCTTGTTGCAATTGTTTAATAAAGTTTGAATGACCGTAATAAACGGACCTTTGTCTTATTGAAACATTTATTTTGGACCTTTAAGATTTGTATTTGAGTACCCCTGATCTAAAACCATCGGAGGCCAAGCAAATCTTCAACTGTAAGTAATATAAAGGAAAGAAAACGAGTTAAAAATGTCTGTTTAAGGCATTTAAGTGGCTTAAAAGAAAAACAGGAGGAAGCTACGACAGTATTTACAAGTAGGCTATGTATATAGCACAAAGACGTCCATACTCTGCATCTGCAAGCAAAGACCTCGTGTATTTTAATCGACCATAAACCGCAAAAATAACCGCAACGCAAGTTTTTCCAAACTTAATAAATCCATGTGTCTGAGCCGCAGCGACACCGACTGGTTCTTAAAGAGCGGGTCATTCTGTTGGTTCCGGGACTGGAGCTGCTTGTCTCGGTTTCTGAAGCAGACTTTGCTCCGAGCAGAGGTTGGGAAGTAGTGGAGTAGCCTACAAATACTTTTGTTACTGTTACAGATTCGGTACTTACTCCACTACTTATTTTTCTGACGACTTTTTACTTTCACTTCTTACATTTTGAACACAAATACCTGAACTTTCTACTTCTTACATTTTCAAACCAGGGTTACTTTAGTTTTAATCGTGTGTTTGGTGCGTGATCATTATTATTTAGAGTCATTGCGTGCCTATTGATTTGAACAGGGACGTGCACAGACATTTTGGGGGGCGGGAGCTCAAGTGAGAAAAAGGGCACCTCCCATAATCATTTATAAAAAAATGTTTTAAAACAAAAAGTTAAATATAGTTGCACATCTCTGACTTACTGACCAATTTATTTTAATACCCTCAAACTCACGCAATTGTTTAATACTCAGCAAAATTCTACAAAATAATCAGCTAACACAGAGACAATGGTCTTCTTTAGTATTCACTACGCACAAGAGCAGACAACAAACTAGTCAAATGAATAGTTATTAAATGAGCAGCCAACAATCAAAATTATGAAGTTACTGTTTAAGGACATTACAGGCAAAAAGATCGTTTTTTCATGTTCTTGTTATTTTGGTCTATTTTGCTCCCATGTTTTCTTTCACTCTAACGGAAATAAAACTTCCAAAAAACACATATAAATGGTGTTCGTTTTACTACCATGTCTGAATTCATCTAGATTTAAAGCTAATCTGCATTTAAACATAACATTTCGGGGGAAAATACTGACTTGACGTAAGTAACTATCTGGGGAAGTTGTGATACGATATATTTATATATATTTTTTTCATCATTTTCACCTGCACTGCCTTGGTAACTGCATGCAAATTAGCCCATTTTAATAGGCCTAGTTAACGCCTAATTTGCATATCAATGTGGCGATTGTGATGACGTTATTAGATACACATATTACTGTATTCACTTTAAGTGTCTCCCCTTAAGTATAGTACATTAGCCTGTATGCCCATGATAAATTGCCTTAGCTAAACCTTGAGCTAACTTAGCCATTAGCTAGTAGCCTACCTTTGACACCCTGGCTTAGGCCTTGTAACACATTCAGCACTTACAATGGTATGACTTGCTTGAAGTGAATATATCTGCACTTTCCTTGTTATTCAGAGCTTGATTCTCTATGGTTTTGCACTAATTGTAAATCACTTTGGATAAAAGGATCAGCAAATGAAAATGTAATGTAAAATAGCTGGAGAGGAGCTAGTTTGACTTTGAGCAAGGCACCAAACCAAAAACTGCTTGCTTTGACACCTCTCCATAGGTCCTGTTTGTATGTGCGTGTCTTTCTATAATTGTTAATAACACCAGAGTGAAGAACTGAATCTAAAAGTGATCTAAATCTTAATCTTAAAGGTGTGTTGTATTTTATTGCACTGAACACATTTCTTTAAAAGAGTTAATGTTTCATAACGTCATGGTTTGATAAATGCCTGAAATATTAAGTCATTCATTCATTGAGGACAGTTTCCTAGAGTTAAATGGCTTCACATTTTGAAACACATGTGCCACATACTTTTAACCCCTCCACTACAACCTTTATACCTGCAATGAATCAGCCTTTTGGACGGAGCCATGACTGACTAATTCCTGTCTGCTGTGTTTCAGCTTCACTCAGAGACAACATGGCTTCCAGGTTAGAGGAAGATCTCTGCTGTCCGGTCTGTCAAGAAGTCTTCAGAGATCCTGTTCTTCTGTCCTGTAGCCACAGCTTCTGTAAAGCCTGTCTACAGAACTGGTGGGATGGTAAAGAAGTAAAGGAGTGTCCAGTTTGTAAGAGAAAATCTTCAAGAGGAGAACCTCCCTGTAACCTGGCTTTAAAGAACCTGTGTGAGACCTTCTTATTGGAGAGAGGTCAGAGACCTCCAGAGGCTCTCTGCAGTCTGCACTCTTTGAAACTCAGACTCTTCTGTCTGGACCATCAGCAGCCAGTGTGTCTCGTCTGCAGAGATTCAAAAGCACACACCAACCACAGAATCAGACCCATCGATGAAGCTGCTCAGGATCTCAGAGAGGAGCTCCAGAAGTCTCTGCAGCGCTTTCAGGAGATACTGGAGATCTTTGAAGAAGTTAAAGTGGAGTTTGATCAAACAGCAGGACACATGAAGGTCCAGGCTCAACACACAGAGACGCAGATTAAGCAGCAGTTTAAGAAGCTTCACCAGTTCCTAGAAGAGGAAGAGGAGGCCAGGATGGCTGCACTGAGGGAGGAAGAGGAGCAGAAGAGGAAGATGATGGAGGAGAAGATGGAGGCTCTGAGCAGAGAGATAGCAGCTCTTTCACTCACAGTCAGAGCCACAGAGGAGGAGCTGAGAGCTGAAGACGTCTCCTTCCTGCACAACTACAAGGCTGCAGTGGAGAGGCTGCAGCGCCCCTGCTGGAGGATCCACAGCTGCCCTCAGGAGCTCTGATAGACCAGGCCAAACACCTGGGCAACCTCAGCTTCAACATCTGGAACAAGATGAAGGACATGGTGTCCTACTCTCCTCTCATCCTGGACCCAAACACGGCTAATCCATTCCTCTTCCTGTC